CAGGACAGGCCATGCAAGTGCCCCGTGGGCGAGTCTGCTGATTTGAGCAGGTGTGGGCACACCGGGAGCTGCCTGCTCACGTGCCAGCTTCCACCCTGCACCTTTGCCAACTACGCTCCTGACCCCTTTGCTAATGGACACGACTTTGACCTGACAACAATGCATCACCACTGAGGTTGGCAGACTGGAACAATCCTGCAGACAGGATCAGCATGCTCACTGCCACGGCGTGCCTTTAACATGCCAAGAGAAGAACGAGCAGCCAAAGGCCTAGAACTGCCCACGGGGCTGAATGGACAGGACGGAGGAGGTACACGCCTCATAAGCTGAGGTGCCAGGACTCATCTATGCACGGCCACCACCAGCAGTGCACGAGGTCACGGCACCGAGTGAAGAGGAACGACCGCATCGGTTTAAGTCACATTGATCCTCTATTGGTGTGTCAGCAGACAGTGTAGGACGGAAGTCTTGCGTGTGGCCAACCCGGGAAACAATGCCTCGCATGGGGCCAGCCCCAGTCTGACTCCGGGCACCCCATGGCGGCCCCTGGCAAAGCTGGATGTGATCCTGGAGTCTCAGGGCTGCTGAGGAGCCCCTGGGAGAAAGGCAGGAAGCATGGGGCAGACCCTCAGAGAGAATTCTAGAAGTTGTTACTTCCTGCTATGCCCATTTCCCACAACTCCATCCCAGTCCCTTCCTAGAAAGCCCTTTGGTGGGGATTTGTCTGGAATGGCACCACAGAGAGGACCCCAAGTGAGGCCTCGGTACCCCCACACGCAAGTCCAGCAGTCACGGTCACCCAGTGAGGGACGCCTGGACAGCACCATGCACTGAGGGCCCCCACACACCAGGAACGTGTACCAGCACCCACACACCAGGACCACGTGAGGGAGGGGTCCCCCCCACACCAGGACCATGCAAGGTAGGGATACAGCATACCCCAGGACCATGCGAGGGAGGGGTCCCCCACACACCAGGACTACATTGGGTCCCCCCCACACTAGGACCCCATGAGGGGCAATCCCTACTACACAAATTTAGGCTCCCTAACAGACCAGGACCATGTTGGGGTCCCCCAGACACCAAGACCATGTGGGAGAAGGTTCCCCAACATAGCAGGACAAATGGGGGTCCCCCTGCACAGCAAGATCATGCAAGAGTCCCCTGAACAGCATCAGCACAAGAACAGTAAACAGCACGGGCTGGAGAATGAGACAGAAATTAGGAGCGTGTTTTTTTAAAAGTCCATGAGCCCAAGGGCTGGAGAGGCAGTTTAGTGTGGGCAGGGCATCAGGCTTGCCTGCAGCTGAGCTGGGTTCATACCCAACACTCCATAGTACCCAGGAGTGACCCCTGAGTGCAGAGCCAGGAGTAAGCCCCAAGCACTGCTGAGCATGGCCCGCAAAGCAAAAAGTAAATTAAAATGAAAAATTAATAAAAATAAATAAAGACCCATGAGCCCAATATCATGGATTTCCAGGTCAGCCTCGTGGAGGCGCCCACAGCCTCAGGCTTATGGCGGCTTCCTGCTGGGTGTGTGACAGGGCTAAGCCTTGCGTGCGGCCAACCCCATACTGAAGACAATGATTTTCGATGTATATGACTTTTTTTTTTTTTTTTGCTTTTTGGGTCACACTTGGCGATGTACAGGGTTTACTCCTGGCTCTGCACTCAGGAGTTACTCCTGGCGGTGCTCAGGGGACCATATGGGATGCTGGGAATCGAACCCGGGTTGGCCGTATGCAAGGCAAACGCCCTACCTGCTGTGCTATCTCTCCAGCCCCGTATATGACTTTTTAACTTTTGCTTTGAGGACTGGAGAGTGAGGTACAGCCAGTGGTGCTCCGGAGTCGCTCCTGACAGTGCTCGGGGGACCGTGCAGTGCTGGGGATGGAGCCAGGGTGAGCCACAGGCCGGGCAAGTGCTTTGCCCATCACACTATCTCTCCAGCCCTGTTTATGCACCTTTAAGGCCCTGTGAGGCTTAAACATCAAGTGGAAAATTCCCCAAAGTTCCTGCTATATTTGGACTTCAGTATTCATTTTTTTCACTTCAGCAGACCTTAGAGCTGCCAATAATTGTACAAGATAAATTAGGCAAACGGAGCAGAGCCGTTTCACTCCACGAATAATCCTCACACTTAGAGGAAAAACCGGCAATTAACTGATAAGAAGTAATAACAAAATCAAGAACTGGCTCCGCGCGGAACTCGTGAGTACATGCAGACAGACAGACAGACAGACAGACAGACAGACAGACAGTCTCCTGGGCCCAGGATGCGTTGGCCAAAGCGTAGGGCTCACACGCAGACTCGAGTGTCCCGGGAAGGGCACTCTGCCCTGATGTGCCCGCAGACCGTGTCTGGCTCAGAATTGCCACGATTCCCTGCTCGGTCCGATTTCTCCAGGAAAACCCACCTGGCAGCTGGTTCTAGGAATCTGGGAAGGTCCAGATGGGACAAAGAATTCTCGCTCCAAGACCCCCCTCTGGCGTGGCAGTGAGGGGCCTGGGCTGTCCCAGTGGGAAAAAATATCATCCGAGGGCTCACTGCCGAGACTGGCAGGGGAGGGGACTTCGCAGAGGCTAGAAGGGCCTGGAACGCGATGGCTCAGATGACTGATGTGACGAGTCCACCCCTTAGACCTGAGCCCCCTCCTCAAATAATCCATAGGAAACAGTGTGTGTGGGGGGGGGGCGGCGTGGGGAGCCTCATAGCGGGGCTGACACTTTGGAGCAGGGCTGACCCTTTGGGATGGGGCTGAGCCTTTGGGGCGGGGGTGGACAGGGGCGGCCTCAGGGGTTCGGGGACCCTTCACTAACTAGAGCGTCCTGGGCACGGAGCTGTCGGCGGCCAGTGCTGGCATGTGGCCGGGGGCCCGTCCTACCTGCCGCTGCCCTGCGGGCCCTGGAGGGAGCAGTTGATGGCGTTCACCAGGAAGCTGAACAGGCGGCCGTACAGGGACTTGGCCAGGAGGTCCCGGTGGAATTCGGCCATCTCGACGGAGTGTCGCCGGACGACCATGTCTCCTGGGGGGGAGGGGGGCAGAGGCACACAGTGAGCGGTGGGAATGCAGCTGCTGAGCCAACCAACGTGCTATGGAGACTTGGGATGGGGGAGGACACTCTGGCGTGGGTGGGTGGGCAGCGGGGGCACTGGGCAGGGTCCGGGTACCCGGGCCTGGCGCGACAGCTCTGGGCTGAATCCTGCTGGAGTGGCCCCTGGAGCACTGACTGGGAGCCCCCTTAGCAAGCGAGGCTTTACAATCCTCCACGATAAGGGTGTTTCTCGAAGGACAGTGCTCCCCAAGGCAGCCTGAGGGGTACTCCCCATGGAACCCAGAGGCCTGGCCTCGGCATGGAGCTGGCCCTCCCCGTGGACTTTCCTGTCTCCAGGGCCTGAAGAGCGAGAGAGGGCAGGCTCCCCGACCCAGGGGCCCACCCCCAGGGGATCCCCACCCACGTCACTCCCCACCCAGGTCACTGCCCACCCAGGTCACTCCTGACCCCCAGGGGTCATTCCCTCAGGAAGAGACAGCTGGACACCTCCAGCAGGGACCAGCGGTGTGAAATGTTTCGGCAACTCTGTCCTCTCTGAGGAGGAAGGGCAGGGGAGGGGGGGGTCACTGCGTTTCAGGGTCTCAGGCTGCGCCAGGACTGGCCAGGGACACTCACCTCTACAGCAGAGGAGATCGCTGGTCAGCGCAGAGGCCAGCTCCTCGGCAGGAACCTGGAGCATGCCGGCCACTAGAAGCCAAGTACAGGGTAGAGCCAAGGTCAGCCCGCACCATGGCGGCCAGGACACGGGCCTGGTCACTGCAGCTTTCTAGGGACTCGAGAAACCCGGTGCCTTTAAGGGACAGTGAGAGCTCGGACCTCAGGAGACACAGCGAGAAGCAACGGGCCCCATCACACAGGTCACTGTCCCCTTCTGACCTCAGCTGCCCCTGCCCCCCTGAGGTCACTCGGAGACCGGGCAGGTTAGACGGTCTTCATGGACACCCTGTGGTTTGCAGGTATGTGGAACATGCTGGAAGTGACTCAAGGGTCAGCTCTGCAGGAAGCAGGGTTTGGCAAGACCTCTGCGGGGGTCACGTTCTGCTAAAATGTCTCGCTAATCACATGCCCGGAGTCTGTGGGTGGCCGGGATGCTGAGCAGGACACATGTGAGGGGTCTGTGAGGGGACACGTGTGCTGGGGTCTGTGCGGGGACACGCGTGCGGGGTCTGCAGGACACGCATGTGGGGTCTCAGGGACACGTGTGCGGAGTCTGCGGGGGACACGTGCGCAGGGTCTGGGCAGGGACATGTGTGCGGGGTCTCGGGGACACGTGTGTGGGGTCTGCGGGGGACATGTGTACAGGGTCTGTGCGGGGACACGCGTATGGGGTCTGGGCAGGGACACATGTGCGGGTTTTGGGCGGGGACACGCATGCGGGGTCTGGGTGGGGACATGCGTGTGGGGTCTGCAGGAGACATGCATGTGGGGTCTCAGGGACACGTGTGTGGAGTCTGCGGGAGACACGTGTGCGGGGTCTGGGCGGGAACTCGTGTGAGGGGGGTCTGTGCGGGGACAAGTGTGCAGGGTCTGGGGGACACGCGCAGGGGTGTGGGCGGGGACACGTGTACGGGGTCTGCAGGGGACACATGTGCGAGGTCTGGGCGGGGACACGCGTGTGGGGGGTGCGAGTCAGGGGGGAGACACGTGTGCGGGGTGGGGGGGTCTGGGCGGGGACACATGAGCGGGGACACGTGTGCGGGGTCTGCAGGGGACCCGCCCCTCCCAGGCGCGGCCCCTCGCTCCCGCCCGGCTCCAGGAACCATTTTCCGAGAGAACAAAGTGGCGGTTCCAGCGGCTCTGCCCACCGGGAGACAGGCCCGACTGCCCGGGCTGTGGCGCCACCTCCCGGCACGGAACTGCAGGCGTCGGGCGGGCAGCGCCCAGGGCACTGACCTTGCTCCAGGAGCTGGAGGTCAGTGACGCAGGCCAGGCCAGGCTCGGCGGGCGCCGTGAAGCGGAGGTCTCCGATGTGCAGCACCGCGGCCAGGATCCCAAACAGACCGTCCACCTCCTGAGGACAGACAGACAGACACCGTGACAGTCGGACGGACAGCAGCGCTCGCCCAAAGCCCAGCGGAAGGTGGGGACGTGGGCTTCTCTCTCCTGCGAGCCGGCAGGGCCCTGGGGCAACGGCAGGGAGAAGGCGCCCGACCCCCTCCTGCCCTCGCCAGACACAGCCTCCACGGGGGTGAGACGGGGGTCTCGTGTCCCAAGGAGAACACGCACTGTGGGTGCCAGGGGGCCACGAGCTCAGACTTGGGAGTCATTTCCAGAGGTGTTCACAGGAGAGCGAGAGCTGGGTGCTGCTCACCCTGCAGTGCTCGGGAGAGTGAGAACTGGTGCTTGCTCACCCTCCAGTGCTCAGGAGAGCGTGAACTGGTGCTCCAGTTCAACCTCCAGTGCTCAGGAGAGTGAGAGCTGGGATGTGCTAACCTGCCAGTGCTTGGGAGGTAAGTGGGCTTTTGCTCACCATCCAGTGCTCAGAAGAGTGAGAGCTGGGGTGTGCTCACCATCCAGTGCTTGGGAGAAGGTGAGTGGGCTCTTGCTCACCCTCCAGTGCTTGGAAGAGTGAGAGCTGGGGTGTGCTCACCAACCAGTGCTCAGGAGAACCTGAGCTGGTGCTTGTTCAACCTCCAGTGCTCAGGAGGGTGTGAGTTGGGTGCCTGCTCGCCCTCCAGTGCTTGGGAGAGGCCAAGCGGCGAGAGGGGAGTTTACACCATGTTCCCGCACCTCAGGCTCCATGCAGCAGGTGTGAGCACAGAAGAGCCCTGGCAGGCCCGTGGCAGGGGAGGGCACGGAGAGTGAGGGCCTGCTGGGGGGCTCGGCTGTGGGGCAGGGGTGTGAGAGGCAGGGTGCTGGGACGTGTGTCTCGATGTTTCCCGCTGCACATCGAGGGAGAGGCTGGCTGCACCCCAGGGGCCTGCAGGAGGGGCTTCCTGACCACCCCTGCCCAGCCGGAGAGCAAACGCCCAGTGTGTGGCTGTCCTAAGGGCCCCTCGCTTCCCTCACAGTGAGCCCCTGAGATGACAGTCGGGGCCTTGAGTGACCCCTGACCCACCCCTCTCACCTTCCCCCTATGTTAAATTCTGTAGCCCCAAAAAGAGGCATAGACAAGGGTCCCCTGATTTGTGTCCAACCCTCATGCCCAGGGCTGCAGCGTTTCTTTTGTTAAATAGGGTCGTGATTGACCCCGAATCACGAGCTAGTGGCGTGCGGGTGGTGCCCAGTTGCCCAGCACAGCCTGATGCCCAGCTCCGCCATAAACTTGGGGTGGACCCTGGTTCCAGCGTCCCGGGGTCCAGAGCCACATGTGCCGGGGCCGCCGGGCATTGACTCCTCAGGGCCACGGGCCCCCTGTCCACTGCCCGGTGACCCCTGGGCGCAGCCCGAGATGCCCCTTCCACCGGCACCCAGACTTCCTGAGGCTCTTTGGGGCCAGGAAGTGGCCGCAGAGTCCAGAGAAGGTGCCAGTGTCCTTGGCGGGTGCCGGACAGAGCAGGTTAGGCGTGTGCGGTCACTCGGGCCTTTCTGGGGACAGTACGGAGGGAAGCGTTTCTGACAGACTCACCAGGTGGCTGAAGCCCAGGGCGCTCAGGGCCTGTCTGAGGGCGGCCAGTCGCTCCCTGTGGAGGCCGCGATCCGCTGGGGGCCCATCGTCCTGCAGGCCTGGCCTCAGGTACCTGTGGGGACCAGCACATGGCGTCAGGTGTGACCCAGGCCCAGGACACAGCGGGTCAGACCGGCCCAGCCCAGGTCCAGGTCCACAGCACTGCCCGCCACCCTGCGCCATCCCCTGGTGTTTAACGCAAGCCTGGCACAGCCGGACACCGCGAATGTTGGGAGCAGAGAAGGTCCTCGTCCAGGGCACACGGGGGCACCCCTCTCCAAGCCCCCTCCTGGCAGCAGGCCAGGCTGAGTGACGTCGTTCATTGGCTGCAACTCCTCCTGGCCTATGTTAGCATCTGTCTGGAAAAGTCTTTAACCGAGAGTGGCTTCTGGCTGCCAGCGTGTGTCTTCAGATGAGCAGGTGCAGACCAGCTGGGCAGGGCAAGGAGGGCCGGGAACTCCCTAGGCCGAGGGGCAGAAGTGCCCGGGACGGGGCAGTAGAGGGTTTGGAGGTGCTGAGACAAGGCTCCGAAATCAGACAGGAGAGAGCAGAAAGGGGGGAGGGGCACGGGGAGGCGGGGCTGGGGCCCAGGAGCAGTGAAGTGTGTGTGTGAGCATCTGTGTGTATACGTGTATGTGCATGAGTTCTTGTGTGTTTGTGTCTCTGTGTGTCTGTGTGTATATGAGTGTGAACGAGTTCTTGAGTGTTTCTGTATGAGTATACATGTGTATGCATGTGTGCCTCTCTATATACGTATGTGTTCTTGCATGTTTGTGTCTATGTGTGCACACATGTGTGTCTGTGAATACATGTATGTGCATGAGTTCTTGTGTGTTTGTGTCTGTGTGTGCACATGTGTGTATATATGTGTGTATGCATGTGTTCTTGCACGTATATATTTGTATGTGTGTATATATGTGTGTATGTGTTCTTGCTTGTGTGTGCTGTGTGTACGTGTGCATGCCTGTGTGGCCTCCCACCACGAAAGGCTCCTGGTTTTCTCCAATACGGGGACAGGTTCCATGGATCCCAGTGACCCCTGCCCTGTGCTCCGGGTTTTCTGGGCCTGAGAGTGCCTGGGCGGAGAGGCCCGTAGGTAGTAGCATGGGCCTGGTGTGTACAGGCATGTGTCCGGCAGCCCGTGGGACCGTCTCTCCTACAGGCGCCCGGACCAGCCTCACACAGGAAGGGGGAGCCCTGGGCAGCTGAGGTGGACAGGATCAGGGTGCAGAGGGCCTCAGACACATGTGGTCCTGATGACCTCATCCAGGGACCCTCATCCTGGGCGCTCTGCCTCCTGCACCCCTCACAAACCCCTGCCAGTTCCTTCTGGAAGGTTCTAGAGCTCAGAGGGCTCAGCTTCCTGGATTCCAGGCAGCTCCTCCCCCGCAGGACAGTCCTGAAAGCCCCCTGCCTCAGGCTGCAGCTGCTGCGGCCTCCAGCGGGTGGGGACACCCCAGTGTTTCCACTCCAGCTTGGCTCTGGGCTGAGTCATGTCGGGGAAGGTGCCTGGAGTGAGTGGTGCCTGCCGGGAGTTCGCTGGGACTGCGTGGAGGTCAGAGGCTCGTGCAGGGGTAGGAGATCTGCCTTGCAGTTGAGCCCCCAGGGGCCTTAGGGTGGTCCAGTGTCAGTGTGCAGTCGAGTCCCTGGGGGTCTGAAGGTGGTCCAGGGTCAGCACGATTATTTAAGTCACACGCTGGAACACTTACACTCTCCGGCTGTGTTCAGGGTCCTTGACCAGAAACAGTTCTAGGACAGAACTGTGTCTCAGAAGGAAGAGGCAAGCAGGGAATCGATCCCAATACAGGGCATTCAGAACCAGATGACATGTTCATGTGTCCGCGGCATCTCTCTGTTCTGAACCCTCTCACGGGGGGAGTGAAATATCTCAGGCCAGAATCCAGGGACTCGGAGCAACCCCTGGGTCATGTCCAGAGACACCTTATTCTCCGTAAAATGGGGCAAGATGACTTTAAGCAGACAGAACCCATAGCAAACCAATAAGACGCTGCTGAAAAATAAGAGATAAGCAAACACACGCTAAGAAGGGGTGCTGCCCTGGGCACGTGGGCCCATCTGTCCTGGTGGGCACGATCTTGCCCCCTGGGGGATTCTCTTTTTACTTCCTGGCCATCTGTCCCCCACGAATGATGGGAGCTAACGGCGCAGAGCAAGTTTTGCTGGTGTTATGGGGGAGAAGGTTGGATACCGGAGCACACAGCTGCCCGAGACCGGGGTGTGTGAGGAAAGGAAAGGGTATTTCCTGGTGGTGAGCCTGTGTGGTTGCCAGTCATCCTCCACGGCCCTGTGAGATGCTTTGAGCATGCCAAGTTGATGAGACCCCCCATGGAACTCGGAGACCAGCTTCCCGCAGGCTAATCCCTCACGAACGTGTCCCACTCATGTCCACAGGCAGCCGGCAGCCTCGCGAGGTCAATTTGAGCATGTGTGCAGAGAGGGGGGGTTATCTCTTCACTTATTAACCAACAGCCCAGCAACCCTAGTATTGAAACCTCCAAACCCAATAGTCAACGTCCTTCATACAATCTCTTCTAGAATTCAAAATTACACATTTGCCTCCGAGACAATAGGCTTTCCCCTTAAGCCACAGGTAGCTTGCAGCAATAATATTTAGTAATAGGGTGAAACCTTGGGCTGGAGCGTTAGCACAGTGGGTAGGGCATTTGCCTTACACGCAGCCAACATCGCCGACCTGAGTTCGATTCCTCCGCCCCTCTCGGAGAGCCCGGCAAGCTACCGAGAGTATCTCGCCCGCACGGCAGAGCCTGGCAAGCTCCCCGTGATGTATTCGATATGCCAAACACAGTAACAAGTCTCACAATGTTACTGGGCCCGCTCGAGGGTGAAACCTTGACAAACAATCATAAACATCAGAAACTCACCTGTGGGCCAAGATCACTGATAGACAAAGGGAACCTTCTAGATCCTACATTTGTTGGTGTTGGTGGAGTTTGTCTGGCTTTACAATGTGAAAAACTATCCGTGCCTTGGCCCCATATGAGAGACCTATGTACTCATCCACATGCAGATGAAGGTCCCCATGTCTCACCACCACAGACCCCATGGTGAGCACTTCCCATGGGCAGTTTGTGGGATAGTGGTTTCCCACAAACCAGAGATGATCTCAACATTTAGAAAGAGAAACATTTCAATACAGTGGAGGAAATACTGGCTGCCAAACAAGCTCATTGGTGTTGGTAACGAGGGAAGTTTCCCTTCTTAGTAGACAGGCTAAGACCAACAGTCACCTGCAGAGCTCCCTAAGAAAATTCAAGGGTCAAAGCAGGCCTTGTTAGACGATAGCCGTTGCTACAGGTGATCAGAGAAAAGCTTTAAAAGACTTTTTGGAACACAATTTTAGCAATTGTTTCAAAGTGATACAACTCAACCCTGTTATGCATATCCTCTCGGCATTACAAACTGACCCACATATGTGCATTATCTTTGACACACGGTGAGCATGTTTCTATGCCAACTGGACTCTAAGTTCCGAAACATGAGTGCATGTCAGAATTGCCATCAGAGGGGCTGGAGCAATAGCACAGCAAGGAGGGCATTCGCCTTGCACGCAGCCAACCCAGGTTTGATTCCCAGCATCCCATATGGTCCCCTGAGCACCACCAGGAGTAAATCCTGAGTGCATGAGCCAGGAGTAACCCCTGTGCATTGCTGGGTGTGACCCCAAGCCAAAAAAAAAAAAAGGAAGTGTCGTTAGAACCGCCCACCCAGCTTGAATAGGACTGTGGATAATCCAAGACTATATATAGGATTTGCACTAAAGGAGATAAAATGCTTTAAAGGCAATGGTTTGTTTCATTAATTCAACACATCGGAGTGGGTAGAGCTATACACTGGGCCTCCTTTCGGGGAGGGGTGAAAACATGAGCAGAGAGAGGTGAGGAAAGGCGTTGCCAAGCTTCATCTCTGTCCAACTGTTGACTTGGAGTATTCCCCACGCGGCTTTGCACTCCCTTGCCTGGGACAGCACAGTGACCTGCAGGTCCATTCTATTAAAAAGTAAACAACTTAGCTGGAAAGTTTAACCCAGCTGGATTCCTGTGAAGGGGGACATAGTCTCCCCAGGAAAGAATCAGGTTCCTGTGTTTTTCTGAGGAAAGCCCGCCCTTGGCTCCTTTGGGATGCCAGAATTCATCATGAAGAGCTTTAGGGTCCACTACCAAGAACACGCAAAAAAACTACAACACCCAAAAGGAGAGAGAGACCAAAAGGCAATGCCCTGCCACAGAGGCCGGGGTGGGGTGGAGAGAATGGGGTGGGGTGGTGGGAGGGATGCTGGGAACACTGGTGGTGGAAAATGGGCACTGGTGGAGGGATGGGTACTCGATCATTGTGTGACTGAAACGCAAGCACGAAAGTTTGTAAGCCTGTAACTGTACCTCACAGTGATTCACTGTAGCACTGTCCTCCCATTGTTCATCGATTTGCTCGAGCAGGCCCAGTAACGTCTCCATTGTGAGACTTGCTGTTACTGTGTTTGGCATATTGCATTCACTAATAATAAAAACACAAAAACCAAACCAAAAAAAAAAAACACCCAAGAACATGCATATATGCTGGAAAGCTCAGAGTGAACAACTGAACAGAAACTCCGACAAGCTTCTGAGCTTGGCCAGGTTAGATTCCGAAACAAGTGAAGAGAATATTCTTAAACACAAGTGCTTGGCGGAGTTTACCAAAGGGATACTTGTTACTGTTGATCCTCGGGGTGTACTCCCTCACCTCTAGCACTTTTCATTCACTCTCCTCTCATTGCATCTCATTATTAATTAACAGTCATTTCTCCTACAGGCAAATTCTAGGGAAAAAAAAAAATCAGTGTCTGGCCTTTTAAAGTGAGAAATCATGCAAAACCTTTAATTGATGGGGAAAAAAATCACTTAATAACGCTTCTGCTCAACAGATCCTAATCTGCAGGAACACAGCACACCAAATAAGTGATCGTGCAAAGGTTCTGGGGCCAGAGCGCGTGCAAGGGACTAAGGTCTCTGTTGCACACTCCACATATGGCCCCCAGGAAAGCCAGTGTCAACA